ACAAGTGCAGCACATGTCAGGTTGGTACAGCCAATCATCATCACGACGCACACAGGCGGCGTGCTAAGTAGGACACCGCGTGGTATGTAGCCCGCGAGATGGCGAGATGGCCCCTTTTTGTTTTCTAGACCATATGATACTCTGCCTGCTGAGGTGGAAACTTACTCCTGCGAACCAGAGGGAACAGGAACTGATGCCATTGGTATCAGTTTCTGGGAGAGGCTGCATTTTTTTTTTTGTTACACGCCAAAACTGTCCATTGTCTTGTCCAAAAAGAGGTAAAAATGCCACAATTTAAGACAACAGACAAGAAACTAGATGTGACGTATGTGTTTGATAGACCGTGAAGCTTTCTGCTGCAGGCAAAGATGAGAGCGATGTGCAGTGGTCGTAGCAATGTGCTCTCATTATCACAATATTGTATTTATACTTATAGACCACTGTTTGGGGGAGGATTGTCAAAAGTAACTAGAATCAGATACTAAAGATTTTGTTCCATTAATACATTTTGTTTGTCCCACAGCAAGAGTGTTGTTTAAGTAGTAGGTCGTGCTCCGAGTAATAATACTTTAAAACATCACAAAACATTTTATAATGGTTTTCATCATTTTGAACCGGTGGCTCGCTCTAATAATAACATTTTTCAAGTGAGTGGCTCAATATTTGTCTTATGTTGGATTCATGACCACAGCGGAGGAGCTCGGATACCAGCAGCTCCTTGTCTCCACTGCTTTAAATGTTGAGCTTTAGGTGAAAAAATATAGATAAATAAACATATTATTAACCTTATGTACAGTTTCATTTGTCGTGTGAACTAGTCAGAAAATGAAATGATACTAGCGCTAACAAAAATCCGGTTCAGTGCTTCTCGAGTTCAGTCCAATTTGTGGAGACTCTGGTAAGGCTGTCTTATTTAAGATAAGATAAACTTTATTGTCTCAAGGGAAATTTGCTGTATAGCACTGGTCAAAAACAGTGTTTACAAAGCGCTGCACAATCTGCAAAATAATCAATAAAAACAGTCACAACAGTCATAAAACAATCATAGTTTTTGTCTTGTCTTTCTGTAGGCTTTAAATTGGACCTAGAGTCTGTTATAAAGTTGAATTGAATGAATATGTTTAAAAATCTTAAAAACCCTGAGGTATTGGATTTGGTATAGTTTGAAATATTAGTGTCCTGAAAAGAGGATGTTGATAAATGGTTCATGTTGGGTTCATCTTTTAAAACCAATGAATTCGTATTAGTTTAGAACGAACGAAAGGTGCTTTAGGATCACATCAAAATTCTCCAAACTGACTTGGACTGATTACGAAGTGCGAGTAAGTGAGATGTCCTTTGGTGCCAAACAGCATGAAGCCTGCTGAAATTCTTATCTCAACTGCTGACTCCAGATAGAAAGGTAATGTGTGTTAAATTGAGCGGTGAATACAGCATTCTGTTCGCTGGGCTCTTTTGTTACTTCTCAGCCAGCAGCCTCCTCCGTCATGTGTGCAGAGCTGAAAACATGCCACACTCAAAGTCACGGGTCTTTTCCTTTCAAGAGCTACTTTTATCAAAAACAGAAATGGCAGAGAGCTACATGAATTTGCACTGTCTTCCTGAAAATGTGAGACAAGCTTCTTCTCTGACAATGTTCAAATCCAGGTTAACAATTCTGTTTAGCTTGGCATACAACCGAGGGATTTTATATTCACTCTTTTGAATGTTCTGTGATTATTTATGATATGAATGCCTTGTCTGACTCTGTCTCTGTCTTGTCTTGTTCAGGACTTTGAGTTGCTTTGTGTATGAATTGTTAATGTTTATGTTTCATTTGTTCATGTTTCATTATCACCATAGGATGTGCTCCATATTGCGAGTGACGTTTTAAGTTCATTTATGCAGAAACCACTGGAAATGCATTATTCTTATGTATTACATTGTTGATGGGGAAAGAATGAATGCTACATACTGTACTGTATGTATTTTAAACATTCTTAACTACTATTCATTATTTATAACAGAATGACACAATAGTTGACCAAGATCTGTCTATAGGAAGTTAAATAATCATGATTCCAGCGCTGAGTGACCACAACTACTCGCATTAAGTTTTTGTGTCCTTAGGCAAGGCACTTTGTCTGGGGGATAAGTAGTGGTCAGGGGGCCCTACGAGGGGCTGACTCGTCACCACTACATGAAAATATTACAGTGACAAACCACTGTAAGAGGATAATGATGCAGTCAGTAAATCGTATGTGGTCACCATGGAAACACGGTTTAAGTCTCTATATCATATGTAAAATGAACATTAAATGGGCCTAAATGTTTGTCTACTGTTCGGACACAAAGCACTAAACCCTGTTTAACTTAAATGAGTCACACACACACACTTGTACACGTGACTGGCCTCATTATTATGACCAAAGACAATATTCAGACTAGATTTAAATCAGGATTAACACTAATAGTGTGTAATACACTGTTTATATAATCTTCAGATTATATCAACAATCACAAACTTTAATCTCCCAGAGTAAATAAATAATGACCTGATCTGTTAGTACTCCCGCTTGGCAGCTTGATTTATTACTACAGCTTCAGATTATAATTAACAAAAGAGTTTTTTTTTTTTTGTGTGCAACTTGTTATTTACTGTCTATGTCCATGTAATTAAAATGTAAAATTATTAACTGTTTTTATCCAAAATTCCCATGAGAGAAATGCATACATGAAGAACAACAAAAGTTCTCTAGTTAGTGTTGGCACAAAAGGAATTTCACAAATATATCATATATTAGCAATAGCTTAAGCCATCCGTACATTGTACAATCACACAAGCACCAATTACGCTAAAAGACGTCAATGAACCAGAGGTGCCTTAAGAATCAAGCTCCACATGTGAGTGTGAGAAAAGCCTCTCTTCCATTCTCCCTCAGTCCCCTTTTAGAATCACTTTAACCTGTATCGCCTTGGGACAAAGCCAGCGGCACACAGCCCTTCTGCTCGCCACTCTCCCTCACTGTCAGCTAGAGCGCATAACTACAGTCCCATCCACTCTGGCCTGGTTTAGGACAGCTCCTTCATCACCTCCTCACTGTGGTTAAACGCACTGACTTGGTTTTCTATTCTGAGCCAAATGGCAGTCTTCTCACGTACTCCACCCAGCGCTGCTGCCATTAAATCAAAGCCTATGGACACCTCTGTGAAAACATAACCATTCTTGGAGGAATGCTGGAAGAAATATAGTATATTCCTGTAACTCAAAGTTACATTTTGAATCCAGGATTTTATTACCTATTTTTTAGATTACAGATTTATATAGGACTAAGTAAATCTTAACTCTCCACTTTCACTGTCAAACATGTCAATATAAATTTGACCACATCCCCTCCATCCTTCGTTTTACATTTTGAAATTATCATGATTGTAATTTCTTTTTAAATGTGTTCAAGGACTGGCACACTGTGGCCGACTGTCACAGTGTATCAGATGGACTCGCTCACTTCCTGTTTCTAAATAACTCAAGTTATCTTGTTTCTTTGGCTTTTAACCCATTTTGAAGGTTGACTATTTACTGTTTCTGTGTAGTTTTGTATCTGTTTTAATTTATATATTTTGTCTACAAATTATGTTGAAATGAGTTAGTAAATGTCAATTAATTGTGACAAGAGAGTGAAACTTTAGCACCGGTTAGACCCACCCATGCTCACCCTGATTGGTCAATATTTTTGCAAATCCTTTTCATTGGTTTAACTTTTCTCATCCAGCAGATCTGATTGGTCGTATAATGCCAAGGGGAAGGACTAGTTTAAAAACACTTATTGTAAACAATAGCACAGTAAACCATACAAATGAAGTTGTCGACATCCCCTTTAAATCCACACAGTTTAAAGGTGATGTATGAGATTATTGCTGCTCATGTCAGGAGAAGTAATAAATCATGAAGGTATTAATATCACTGACAGCTCTAATCCTATGAAACAATGTGCGTCTCATTTTTAACTTATGTTGTGATTAGACATGAAACAGGTTGTCTAAATATAGATCAAACCAAAGAGGAGCTTAATCCACCAAATCCATACATAATGAATGGATGTATAATGCATTACTGACCCATTCCAATAAATCACACATAAAAGCTCCACAAAAGGAGACATACTTTGCTTGTCTAGTTCTCTGAGTGGAAATGTTTGTTCTCCCTGTGTCTGTGCAGGTTTCCTCCAAGTGCTCTGGTTTTCCCTTTCACTAAAGACATGTACAACAAGAAAAAGACTGGCATGGAAAAGAGATGGCTGAGTTCACAACAGATCATTTAATTCCATTTTAAATTGGACCCAGTTATAGTTCACGTTGGGCCAAAAAAAAGGCTAGATTTGGTTAGGTTCATTTATTTTGAAACAGTTTCGCAGCAAGAACTAGGACTGCAACAATTGCTCCTGAAGAGAATGAGTCAATTCTTAGCAGGACTATCATGGGGGGGAAATATATAACAATAAAATGAAGAAATAGTTGGTGTAGAGACTAAAGAGATGCTTAAAAGACGCCAAAATAAGCATTATTTTCAGTAATTACATTGGTTCAATCCCAAACCAAATCCAAAATTAGCTTTCTCTCATATCCTATCACATATTCAAACTCTCATACGCCCATTCATACTTTTATGCATCTTTGTCACTACAAAAAATGGCCAGCTTTACATCTTCGAAGTGAAAAACATAGCTAAAAGATAACAATATGTATACGCCTTTACTAATTGACTATAGAGTCCATCTGGCTGCATAATAGATTGTGTATGATCAAAAAAACACATTATGTTCCTTTCTCTGTGGAATTGCATCTGTTAACAAGGTATTATGTCCAACTTGTCTTTCAAAAGAACCACAAAAAGCATTTTAACTCAAGACAAAATGAACCTTTTCGAATGCATCTGTCTCAGTTTCATTCACCGTGCTGTTGACACAAGCTGTTTCCACACACTTTAACAACCCAGGCTCAAACAAGGATTTTCAACTCACCGAGACGTCAAACAGCTCCTCCGTGTCGTCCAGCATGCGGACCCTGATGGTGACCTGACGTCCGGGGGGCATGGCTGGAGGTCTGTGGCCGGGGTCCAGGGTGCTGATGCCCAGAGTCTCCGGGGCCCCGAGGCGATGCCCGGCTGCAGATACTGTGGGCTCTGGGTCTGCCTCAGCCATGGTGCACCTCTCTGTGGTCTACCGCCTGCACAAGGGGACAGGGGAGTCAGCAGGGGCATGGAGGCTGCAACTTGGAAGTATGAATTTACTGGTGAATCTGAAAAAACATTCATAATTTTTTTATAAGTTTTGGTAACAGCTTATTTCCAGAAGCTAAAGTTGGAGATTTTAGATTGATTCCTTATTATGCTAAAGCTAGAGATGTTATACTTGTTATGATAAAGTTAGAGATTGTATTGTATTTGTTTATATAAAGGATCTCTTCATCTTAATCTATTACTTTAAACAAAGCATTTAAATATTTTTTTTAGTTTCCGTGATGGCTCATCTGAATGATCATCTCCCACAACTCTAAAGCCAATGCTAGGTAAGATAACGTTAAGGTTTCAGCTGAAATAGATGATGTGGGGGAACTTTGGGTTGAGAGAAATCCACGATTTGTCTGATTATCCTTCTGTCAATGATGTTAACGTAAAAAATGCATCCAGCTGCCTATTAGCAGCTAATATGCCAAGCCAAACAGGTAAACGGTAATGAGACGGTGAAATGAAGACACAGCATTATTGAGCGCTATAGTTGAAGGCACAATAATACCATGCACTTTGTTTTAACCATTTTAGTATCAAAAGTTAATTGCAGCTAACATTTATTTACTTTTTTGAAACTATTTTGGTTTGTGTAGGACTATCAATGCGTTCTGAACATATTCACTGAACTTTACAAGAACAAAAAATACCAAAAACTGTGATAAATTTGGTCACAGTAACGGAGAGGTTCAATTTTCATAGCGCGAGACCCCTAACTGCGGTAACTGTCACGAGACAAACTTCTCGTCTTAGTGTATAGCTGATTTCTCTGTTATTCCTGGGCCTCTTTGCCGAAACAAACAAAAAAAGTTACACATCTTCTTTGTCAAGTTTATCCAAAAACATGTGCACTGATGTTGGCCAGTACAAACTGTCAGACATAAGAATAATACGGCAGGTTTTTGAATCACCATCAAATAATGATTCGGAAAGTTCGTTCAAAAAAGCCTCTTTCAATTCCAGTTGAATTGGTTCCTGCCCTCAAGCTGAAAAAGAATTCTAGAACGAGAACGTGACCTATTGAAAAGCAGCTTCTCACTAAAGGTGGATCAGATATGTCCACACTACACATCCAGTATTCACATCAATATTCAAATCAGAAACTTAGTAATCGGATTGGATAAAGACCTTCGAAGCCTAGTGTTGAAAATCATTGTTGCAAAAATCAAAACATAGCAACAGCAGGAACCACCCAAGCTGAAGATTTAATTGCTCCCTTTGGGCATATGTTAAATGTAAGTAAGTTAGCCACAATTACTTTTAAAGGTGCTTTGTCCCCCTGTCACCTTACTCTAACGTCGCCGGAGGGTGAGTCCACAGAGAGGCTGGTGTTTGGACAAACTTGCATACTCATTCATTGTGCGCTGACATATGAGCCGGCTCCCATCCCGTCGGGTTTGCCCGCAGTGCGAGTCCCCGAGGCCTGACTGTCCTGCTTCATTCTCTCCCATCCTGGACACATTCCTAAATCCTGCAGCAGCCTCATGTCATTCCCAGGAACTCAACCAATGTTGCACTGGAGCATTATGGGACTAGGGGCACGCTCCAAATAACACTGGAGGATGAAAGACTGCTGCCGTTTTATTCGACTCCAGCTCATTATGGCGTGGCACGGGGTGAGGCGGAGTAATCCAGGTTAAGAGGGCCAAGGTCACTCCGTTTATTTTGATCATTGTTTAAATCTTGTCATTAGTTCAAGATATTGCACCGATTACATGTCATGCATAGGTGCAATATCTTCAACTAATGTCAGAATGTGCAATAAATATGTCCCGTACCCTCATGCTGCAAACATCTACATATGTATACGTCAAAGGTAGAGATTTTATACTTCTTTATTATGCTAAAGTCAGAGTTTTTTGTACTCATTATTTTTCTTCAGACAGAGAATGTATTTGTTTCTTCTTCATGCAAGAGTTAGAGATTTGTATTTTATTTTTGTTGAGTTTTTTGTTCATTTATCTTGTGCTGCTCAACTCATTCCTGTAACTGGTGATACAACACTGAAATTTCCCCCTCATGAATCTTACTCTTACTATTAATCTTAACCTTTTTCAATCTACCTTTTAGCCTCATTTTGTGTATCAAGCTAATTCATGCAACGGTGTTTCTATATTTCAAATAATTTATGGAACATTCTTCTTTGGCCCAGATGTTTCCTCTTTTATATCATAGTGAGATTTGACCAAGGAATAAGTATTAACACAAATTCATTCAATGTTTCTTTGCTTGTTTCGATAAAGGTGAGGAACCAGGAAATATGGGACAATTAAGGCCCCCATGTGATCTTATGTTTATATATTTTTTTTATTTTATGTTTGTATTTTTTTTTTTTTTTTTTTTTAATGTTTGTATTAGGGGCGACAGTAGCTCAGTTGGTAGAGCATTGGCCTTAAGCCCAGAAGGTCGTGGGTTCAATTCCCACCTCTGCACCTTCTCCATCGACTCCCACTGATGACTGCTGTCGTTGTGTCCTTGGGCAAGACACTAATAATAATAATAATAATAATGCATTGGTTTTATATAGCGCTTTTCTGGACACTCAAAGATGCTTCACATGTGTCATTATTCATTCACTCCATACACGGTGGTGATAAACTACTGCTGTAGCCACAGCTGCCCTGGGGCACACTGACAGAAGCGAGGCAACCAGTATGCGCCATCGGCCCCTCCGACCACCACCAACCATTCACACACACACCAGACTCATTCTAGGCAATGGGGGTGAAGTGTCTTGCCTAAGGACACAACGGCAGTTTGGCACTTTACAGCCGCAGCCGCCCCACTGTGGCTGGTGTTCCCAGAGGTTAAGTGTCTTGCCAAGGACACAACGACACTTAACCCCACTTTTCCCAAAAAGCTCCCACTGAAAGATCAAGGCTCTGCTCACACTCAGAGAGCAGCCGTCCTCCTGTGGACTCACCACCTGCAGAGGGTCAGTGAGGGGCTGGTGCTATGAGACTTGGGTGGCATCTCTGACTGCCACCCCCCTGACCCAGACATGGATTAAAGGGTAGAAAATGGATGGATGGATGGATGTTTGTATTAATGATAACAATAATGCCTGGGTTGTATATTGTGCATTTTGGACATTCAAAGACATTTCCCATGGCAGTGGTGAATGAATGGGGTAAGACTGACGGAAGCGAGGCAACCAATCTGTGCCCTCTGCCCCTCCGACCATGAGTGACACCAGACTCAGTGAATGTGGGTCAAGTGTCTTGCCTAAGGACACAACAACAATAAGGCACTTTCCAGCTACAACCACCCAATTGCTGTCTGGTGTTCTCAGAAGTCTCCCATCACGGTACTAACCCTGCTTAACCTCTACGTGCTGCCGGGATCAGGCTTTTATAATCTCTGTATCATATTTATCCCAGATTCAGACAGTACGTGATCTTTTATATATAAAATATTTTAAGTATTGCAAAAAATGTTCTGAATGTACTTTATTAAATTGCACCATACGTATCTTCTTTTCAATCACTTCTTGAAACCCACTTTTATCAAACAGCTTATAGTTTTAAACTTCACGTTGTATTTTACTGTTCCACTTTGTCTTTGTTGTGTCTTTCTTTTTGTGTTTCCTCTGTCTGCTTTATTTTCCTGTATCCACTGATGATTATCGGTGTTATCACCCCTTATGTTACAGAACAGAGCGCATATAAGTTCTTAGTTCTTCTATTGCTTATATCTGCATCAGAATGTGCTATTTCTTGCGTATCATTTTTATAATTTTGTATTATGTAAATCAGGGTTATTTATGCACTATTTTGTCATTCAACTTTTGTTTCCTGTACACGTATTTGCTCGTATTATTATTATCATCAGCCTCTAAGATAGTTTTCTCTGCTGAAAGGTGAACAAAAACAGTATTCAAAGGCACAATGAGTAATGGCATCATTTTGTATTTGCCTGATGTGGTTTGTTGACATTTGATCCTATGGCCATCTCTCAAAGCTTGGCCCTTGCCCAGATATAGCTGCCGTGCCCCGAATGCAAGTCTGTAAATTCTTGCCCCGATGCATCTGAGCTCAAACAGATGCTCCGAAAACAAAACACTATATAGAGGGCAGTAATGGATTTAAGCCAACATGTCCCCTCCCTTCACACCAGTCCCATAATGTCAAAAGCTCTCTTGAAAGGGAACTAAACAAACATGCAGCCAGTTCAACAGCTGTGGGAGTGACATAAAGTTGAAAACATATTGTCAATGGGCTATTCATGGACCCAGCTCCTGTCTTTGAACATGTTTGCTTGAAATTCCCCACAAATGTGTAACGTGGAGCAGTGCTTGTTGACCTATTAAGTGGCTATAACAGTGGTACATCTGTGTCCAGGGGCACGCATGCAGCTAGGGGCCCCCACAGTCTCAGCACTCTGCACAGCCTTTAGTGACAGTTGAGAAGACCAGCCACACCAGCAGCTGTCTTACCTGTGGCAAGCCCTAGAGAGGAACAGCTTACAGAAAAGAAAACACAAAAGCAACTAAAAACGTGATTTTGTTGGGTGTGGCTGACGTTGCTGATCATTAAGTTTTTTCTATGATCAACATGGGGCACGCACGCTCAACAGGGCGCATGCATGTTGCAGCAGCAGCAGGGGCAGAAGCAGCAGCAGCAGGGGCATGCCATTAAACCATACATGCAAAACGTGCGTAAAATGGTGCATGCACTTGGCCAAGCGCAGGGCGGCAGTTTGCGCGCACCGACTCCTTCATCGCACGCACGTCTTGTAGTGGCTTCAACACCGTTAGTGCAATGTAGGTTAATGGAGCAGTCTGCTGTAATCCTCAGGACACAACCAGCTTCTGTAGGAAGATGTGACATTGCATTCGCTTGAGATTGGACTTACTAAAGTGTAAACAGGGGAAAAATGTATGGGGGGGACCATCTCTCGCGGCCAGGATAATATGGCACATGAGGAGGCTTTCCCCAGATGTATAAAGCCTGTAGAATAAACTGCATCGCGTTATTGGCCAGCCATATGTGCGTCGCATGGGCCGTTTCCAAGGCGCGCGTGTGGGGATTTTTTTTAGCCACATAGCGTTAGTTATTGACCTTCGTGGAAACCGCAGGATCACCGAAGAACACGGCAAAGATTCTCCCGAGACTTAGCACTAATCCGATTCTCATCAAACAAGTTGAATCACTTCCTTCAAGAGCCCAAGCACCTAAGCACACACACACACACACACACACATGCACACACGCAGGCACGCACGCACGCACGCACAAGCAGGCTTGAATCTACTTACCCCTTCCCTCTGCTAATGCGGGCTTGTCCTTCCACACGTTTGTAAATTCTCCAGCAGAAAACGACTTGTCACGCACGCGTCCAGACGAAACGCGGCCGAAAGCGTGAGTTGTTAGATGTCGGAGCGGGAGGAGAGGCGCCGCGCAGTCTCCATGGCGGACGGCTGAAGTGAGCGAGTCCGGGAGAGACGGGATTATAGTGGAGCGAGCGCCGCGGATCCACTCCCGAAGCCGCGCAGACAATGAGGCAGGCGCAACACCTCCACATTCAGAGCGGCGCCGAAGGAAGAGCGACAGTGACATCTAGCGGCGAGACGAGGGAGCACGCTTTTCTACATACCTGTCTTTTTTTCTCACGACTCTCTGAGGGAAGAAAATAGGATCAATATCAAAAGCAGAAGCGTTTTTATCGCCATTATACCAACCCATACTAAGTTACGCATACTAAGATGTGTTTTACATTCCAAATATTGATGAGGATGTTTAATATGTACACATTTACATTTACACACTGTAATGATTTGCAGTTTCTGTAATTGGATTCCTTGTAACAAAGTATCTTTTCGTTTAATCACAATGACATCACATATTGTGAAAGCCTTATCCCAGCAGATCTTAGAAGTTAAGCAGGCAGTGCCTGGTTAGTCCTGACATAGGAGACCTCTCTGAACAGAGGTGCCACAGTGTGGCAGCTGTCAATGTATCAGTACTTACCCAACACACTTCACCCACACTGCCTTGCACGAGTCTGGTGTGTGGGTGAGTGAATGATTGGTGGTGGTTAGAGGGGCTGATAGCACATACTGGTTTTCGGCCTTTAGTCAGTCTGCCCCAGGGCAGCTATGGCTATAATAAAAGCTTGCGGTGCAAATGCATAATGACATTTGAATCGTCTTTGAGCATCCAACAAGTGAACATTCTGTCATCAAACCAATTTTGCCCAATTATTTTCTGACTTATTGCTTGAAGGAACTTTTATCTATGAGAGACTCTTTGATCTTTTGCAGTTGGTTTTATGAAAACATTGTAATATGAGCATATCTCCAAACAACCATTTTTTGGTGTTATGATCAATATGAACATCGATGGGTTGAGAAATATTTCTCCTTCAGTATGGGAATGTCAGTCATGTGTTTTGTAGTTTACCTTCCCTTTGGACACTTTTCATAATTCTGCTTTAGTAAATTGTGTATTGATGATGTAATTATATTATGTGTGAGCCAATATGTCCACGTCATTCCCCTTGAGGGAATTTAAGCATTTAAAAATATAAGCATTTCTTTACTATGCTAAAGTCAGAGATTGTATTCTTGTTTCTTTATTACGCTAAAGCTACAGATTTTGAACTTGCTTCTTTATTATGCTATAGCTAAGCTAGCTTTTATTTTATTTATTATTGGTTATTGTTCACATATTTTTGCTTTATCCTCCCCATTCCTATTGTTTTGTACCTGGTGATGCAACACTGAAATGTCCCCAATGTAGGACATATAAAGGATCTCTTAATCTTAAATGAATGGAAAAACGATCCATAGTAAAAGAGCCGGATGGTTGCTGTGGTCAGAGCTGTGGTCAGAGCTGTGGTCAGAGCTGTGGTCAGAGCTGTGGCTGCTGCTGCTGTTGGCTCAGGGCACATTTCTCACATAGTGCAGATGCTGACCTGTCTGTGGCCCCTGTTCACACACGGCCGCAGTCACAGGGACAGTCTGCACGGGACACTCTTCAAACACTCTCAATTCTCACAGCTTCTCGCAGCCGGCTAGATAAACACTGAGCTGTGGCTTTGGAATAGTTGAAATCATGTTATTCAGAAATTTCTCAAAACTCAAACAACAGTGTATCTTCTGCTTCAGTTTTGTCATTAACCTAAGCTGGAATATGCTTTTTCAATCATACTTATAAACATAATACTATTACTTACAATTATTACTTCTTGGAGATGTTTTAATGAGGAAATGCTGTTATGGACTTCATAACAACTCCACAATGGTGGATCAATAGATCGGCAGTTAGATATATAGATCGAGAGATAAATAGATCGACAAATATATAAAGATATAGATAGATGGACAGATATACAGTATATCTATAGATAAAGAAATACAGATGGAGATATAGATATAGAGATAGATATAGAGATAGATATAGAGATAGATATAGAGATAGATATAGAGATAGATATAGAGATAGATATAGAGATAGATATAGAGATAGATATAGAGATAGATATAGAGATAGCTATAGAGATAGATATAGAGATAGATATAGAGATAGATATAGAGATAGATATAGAGATAGCTATAGAGATAGATATAGAGATAGATATAGAGATAGATATAGAGATAGATATAGAGATAGATATAGAGATAGATATCGAGATAGATATAGAGATAGACAGACTGACCGATACTTAGTTTAACCCACACAGTGAACATCACAGATAATGTAATAAACTGACAGCTGCAGGGATTACAGGTGTCCTAAAGCAGCAGAGCATCCACTCTCTGTTTTCAGGTAGTTAGACGTCCCAAATCAATAGTGAATGATCTACTTGTATAACGTTGACAAAATATGGCTGATTGTTCCACACAAATAATCAGCGCCAAATTTATTGCTGCAGTAACGACATAAAAATATTTTCTTTATGGCTGGCAGATCAGTCCTTCGGTTTGGTTCTTAGATTTATATAAGGTTTGCCTTGGGCTCTATCACCTCCTCCTCCATGTTTGAAATGTAAAGCCATTTCTGAATTTTGCATGTGTCGCCCGCCCACCTGCCCTCACGCTGGCAGCCTGGCAGGCTCCTACAGATGGGGATGGGAGATGGGCAGTCTCTTGGCAGTTTCCAGGGCCCTCCGGAGGCACCGACACAAGCTGAGCATTTGAGCTATGTGCAAAACTGAGCGGAACATGTTCCAAGGGAGAAAAAGTGGGTACGAGACAATTGAGTTTGGGATTAGTTATGTAAGCAATGCAGATCTGCTGCCAGAGCTGCTGCTGTCAATAGATTCATGTTTGGACAAATATAAAGCATTCAGTGTTAATTAGATTAAACCCTTGTTAGCTCTAGATGACAAGCAAACACACAATGTTTTTCATTTATTTCAAAAGTGAGAGTATTTTTCATACATTATAGTTGCATAGTTTATCTCAAATTAATCTATTTTTGTATTGCCTAAAATTCCAACAGCAGTCATTTTGAGGGGCAGTACAGAATTGTCAATTTTCTAGTGGAAGTGGTAGAAAATCAAACATTTAGAATACATTGAAATGTAATGATAAAAAATATGGGGGTTGTTGGGCCATGATGAGATAACAGGTTAACAAATCTCTATAAATGTAGACGCAATACTGGTCCTTCCATTGGATGTTGCAATCACCAATTCAATCACTTACAGTTTGATTTGACTTTGGCAAAGACAGAGACACTCAAAAGTATTGGAAGTTTTTTTTGGCTCTGGATGAATGTAGGATTCAAATCTATATTTATACAGAGGAATTTTGATTATACACAGGCTGTTTTATAGCCCAATGCTTACATGTGGGTCAAGTGAAGAAAGTCACACAAGTCACACGAGGGACAACACTTAAAGCAAAACATGCCAATTATGTTACATTTTTATATGTTGATGATAAACTTGTCATGGTCCATTGTGAGGTCCTTTTTATTTGACATATTCCTGCCTTACCAACAGGGGCCAAAACAACACGCCAACCTTTCCCACAGTTGTCCTGGGTGAACACTGTATTTTAACATTGGTCCAAGTGGGGGAAAAGCCTATGAAGTTTTAACTCATTTGTGAGATAAATACAGTTTATCTTATCTATAACTATATATCACTCCAAACTGATAATTTTTTTAAATATCATATTGAATTTTATTTTATTTTAGTATAGGGTTAGATTTAATTTATCTTGTGCTGTGTGCTCCTCATTCTTTCTGTCTGTAACCTGTGATGCAACGCTGAAATTTCACCACTGTGGGACGAATAAAGGATCTCTTTATCTTAATCTTAATCAAACACTAATTCCGATATCTGCCCCAGAAGAGATCCAAACTGTACACAGAGACCATGATAGCTGTAGAGCCATTGACCTTTAGTCGGCATTGTCTGCTAACAGAATGCTGGTGAGCGGGAGGGGGACCAGGATAAGCCTCAGATCCCCCGCTGAGCCCTCCACCTTCACAAGAAGAAACAACAGTGCCTCTCGCTCCACATGTTTTAATAACAGACCAGAGAAATATCAGCTGCGCACTCAAAGCATTTTTGTAACTTGCATAGTGTGTGGGACAGAGATCTTTCTTGGGCTTTTATTCTTTAGTACGAAAATCTTTTGGAAGGAATAAAGCGTTTGGGAAATTGTCAGACATGCTGTTTTACATTATCTTTGCTTAACCCGGACAGAACTTAAGATATGCAGTACAAATGATATACCCCAGTAGGTTTGAGGACTTTTGAGCCAGCTGTAGAGCTATACATGTGATAAAATCTCACTCCCCCTTTCACCCAACACGAGTTAATAGACTTGAGAAGGAGGGTGTCATGAGGACAGTTTTGAGCTCCTCTCTCCTCCTCTTGTGCTCCTTCTCCCCTTCCCTTTGGGATCTTCAAGCCTCGTCTCCTGTCTTCCATTGCAAGTGAGCTGTTCCTTTGGATGAATCATTATTATTTGCTACTGTCTCCTCTCAATCAGCCGAACCTTTACTCCACTCAGACAGAGCCAGTTCATCCAGTGTCTGTGGTACTGTATATATTGTATGTATTGTGGTGGTATGTGTATGTGTATGTGGTGTCTATTTTGTAATTTTGTTTATTGTATTTCTTCCAGTGGAGGACCAGCTACTGAACTACGGACTTCATTGATTTTGGTTTTATTTCCTCCAGACCGTTAAAACTACTTTTAATGAAAGGAGGGCACAGAAATCTAACCCTCAAGCTTCTTACTGTGAGGCATGACTCACTGAGCCACCAAACTTTTGATAATTACACATTTTGATAGTTACACATTTATATAGGAAGTACATGGCTTCCAAACTCATTGTAGTAATATTGTCATTTGGTACAAAGGAACAGATTTCCCCTAAACTCATACTCTACAAACAAAATTGTGAAACATATTCTTATTCTTCCATTTCCATTTGTACATAAGGTCCATCGTCATTGATATATGGCTACACCTACCTCCATAAAGGTCTTATCAATTTATGAATATGCTTTCGTGTGTGTGTGTGCGTGTGCGTGTGTGTATGCGTGTGTGTGTGTGTGCGTGTGTGTGTGTGTGTGTGTGTGTTTGTGAGTGAGA